GAGACTAGTCTTCCAAATTAGGCACTTCATGTAAGTTCCTAGCACTAGGTGAGGAGCATTCAAACCCAGTCAAACAGGTAAAAGACTTTATTGTACTAAACAGCTGATACTTTAGAGTGTTCCAGGATTATGAGACACTATTTGTGAGTGAACTCTGGAGTCAAGTGTCACCTTGATGTGATTCTCAGAATTGTAATTCAGGCCTTCGCTGTGAATTAGACACTAGGAGCTTATATTCTTGTTTTCTGACTTCTAGGCAGCAAGTAACATTTGAGGAGATTTTACCATCCTCTACTCCATCACCTGCCTTGGATCTTCTGAAGAAACTTTTAGTATTTAACCCCAAAAAACGACTCACAGCAGAGGAGGCTCTGCAGCATCCTTATGTGAAAAGGTAAGAGTAATACCAATGTGCAGTTCCCCTTATATCCTCCAAGACATTACAAAACTGCTTTTGGCACCAGTTTTCTTGATATGCATGATAGGAAAAACCCCACAAAGCTAATTCTTAATTTTCTCTAGCCCTATTTACACTAGAGGCTGCACTAGATGATTTAACAATTGGTTTTAATATTACATTAATCTGTGGTGCTGGTTTTAGTCTTGCTGAATTACATTGTGTTACCTTCTTAGGTTTCACTGTCCTGCCAGGGAGCCCTCTCTGGATTACAATGTGATTCTTCCTCTAGGTGATGATATCCAGCTGTCTGTGGCAGAATATCGAAATAAATTATATGAGGTACTTTTTGCTCTGTTTTCCAAAATCCTAATCCTCCAGTTAACCTGCCATTCTTGCTCACATTAATGAATTCTGTCATTTTATTTTCTTTGCATTCCCCTAAGCTTTCCATACATGCTTCCAGTTAAATCTTGGAGTTTCTGATCAGTTGGTTCCATACTGTCATAATTTTTCAGAGGTCTTTAGATTCCCACTGGGGAAATAAAAGTCTGTAAAGCATGATGCCCAAGAAAGACTGTGTGAGAGGAAAATATATCATGCTGGATCCAACATTCCAGGAGAAGCAAAGTTGCTGTCACTCCACGTCCCCAGGTCCAGCTGGTAGCAGGGCTGGACATGTATTCTCAGGAGGCACACACCCCCCGAAAACCCATACATGCTGCATACACATGTAGCTACATGGCTGGCCCCAGGAATCACAAACAGGCACTTGGAGCTCCCACACAAACACAGACAGCACCAACAGCCTCATCCTGCTCTCTTCTCTGGCTGAGCAAGATGGAATTCCACTGCTGAGAATATGTACAAGGCAGATCCCTGTGGCAGCTGCTCTCCACCCCTCAGCCTGCTCAGTGGCTAGCCCCTGGAGCCCAGTTTCCTCAGTTGCTGGCACTTGGCTATACAAGCCCCCAAGGCTGCGGCCCTGTTCCAGCTGCTGATACAGACCATGCAGACAAACAGCTGTCCAGGATGCTCCAGGTCCCTTAGCTGGCCTCACACCCCAGTGTTCTCACCCCTAGAGATACACAGGTGCTGTCACACCCAGAGCTGAACACTTTTGCCCTGCTCACCCCCTTGCTCCCAGGCCACTTGATCTCTTCACCGACTAACCTGATGATCTGCACCCTCCTGCATGGACACACGGGCCCTCTGACCTCTCACCTGACTCCAGTGCTGGCACTCACACCTGCACATGCGTGTGCAGACACAAGGGACAGCACCTCTTCCAGGAAAGAGAAAGGAACTGCGTATGAAGACAGAGCAACCTACATGGATTACCTGGGCTCCACATCCTGCCATTGTCTCTCTGAGCTCCCCTGAGGAGGTCCAGGCAAGCTGTGATCACAGAACCTAATGGACTGGGGTGTTTTCCTAGAGTGAAGACAAGTGCCATTGCATGTGGCACCACATACACAGAACTACCAGGTTTCAGAATAATTAATCAAAAGAAGGGGAAGTGAAAGGTCAGTGTAGCCGATGTGCTAATAATAAAGGACAGTGATGTTTTAGGAGCCATATTTTGAATGCATTGATGTGGAGAAATAGTAGTACTTGAGAAATCAAGAAATCATGCAATAATCAAACAAATAAAAAAGGCTCATGCAACATCTTTAGTTGTACAGGAAGAAGGAAAGGTAGTACTTCTGATGCTGTTTGGTATATGCAATAACATCAAAAGGAAAATAAAAAGCTGCACCTTCCTTGTAGGCAACGGGATCAAGTGCACCCTCAGCAGATCTGCAGATGACAGCAAGCTGAGTGGTGCAGTTGACATTCCTGAGGGATGGGATTCATCCAGAGAGACCTGGACAAGCTCGAGGAGTCTCCCAAACCATTCTCTGATCCTATGAACATCTGAATAGTGTCTAAAGTAGTGAAAGAAGAAAAATAAATCAGAACTATAATAGACACTGAACTGATCTGGAAGGTGGTGGTGTTTGGGCAGCAGGGAAGAATAGCCAGAGTGAATGCTCTTAACAGTGCTGTATGAGGAGCAGCAAAAGTAGAAGTAAATCAAGCCTTCAGGAGGAGAACTTGGGTTTGGCTTAATTTTGGGGTTGTTTTTAATTTCTTTCACTGTAAAGAAGGAAAATAAATAAATGCCATGTTACGAGGGAAGGGAACTGGGCGGTGGTGAGAAGAGCAGGAGTTGCAACACAACTGTGGTAAAACAGGGACTGGAAAGAATGATAGTGGGAAGAGAAGATTGAAATGGAAGCCGAGAGATCAGAAAGTCCAAGACTGAGAAACACTGATAAGAGGTGTCCATCGTGCAAGAGAGATAGGCAAAGTTAGTGCTTCTATTAACAGCAAGTAAAATTGAAGAAAGAAAAACTAAAATAGAATTTTAAAAGTTGAACCTATTTGTTTAAGGTCTTTAATAGAAAGAAACTAATAAACTCTACTGAGATAGAGCATTAGGAGTCAAGCAGATGAATTAGTGAAATGAATACTGAGCACAGGTGGAAAAGATACTCTAAATGTGAACAGATTGGTCACAGATATTCTAGATACAAGGCTAAGAAACAAGTCAATAGTTTTGAATGAACTTACTGATAGGGTGTCAAATTTGGAATTATTGTGACTACAGGAAGTTGAGAACAGATTGTTTGCACTAAGATCCAAAACTTTGCAAGAATTTTTTTGCTAGATGACAGTGTGTAGATGTAGGTGAGAAATAATTATGAACTAACCAGAATGAATGTCGCTCTGACCATTAAAAAAAAAAAATCAGCTTTGCAAACTTCTAGAAAGGAATGGTAAGAAACAACACTGTGTTAACCTTTTGGGCATAGAGATTCTGGCTTTTCCAAGGCTAATGCCCATTTTATTTAGTGGTGTTCTCCCTTGGGATATACTGAAATTGCCTGTTCAGCCCATCCTTTATCTTAATGCTTCAGCCTGTTCTTTCTTGTCACTGAGAATATTATTTCTATCTTCTCTCCTACTCTAAATCAATTTTAAAATTACACTTGTTACCTATCATGTGAAATAAATTGCAGTTATTTCTTTCTCTTTGTTTCTGTTTTGTTCCTCTGCTCTGCCTTGTAGCTATATTAACTTCTCCTTTCTGTAGGTGATCCTTGAAAAGAAATTAAACAGCCAACCAAAGGAGCAAGTGCAGAGAGAAAACATTCAACTCACTCAGTCTGAATCCAAGCCACTTCCTCCAGATTCCAGTTCTGTGGCTTTACCTACCTGGAAATGCCAGAGACAACCAACACCACCTCTAAAGGCTTCCCACGTGCATGCTGGAACTACGACCAGCGTCCAGCCAGAAGTATCCAGCCAGAGTGAAGATTTAACAAGAGCTTCATGTCAGAGATCAAAGATGAATGTGATATACAATCCTCTAACACACACTGCTGTGCAAAGTAGGTACAACCCTCTGACAGTGGGATAATCATTATGGGGAAGAAAGAATAAAAGAGATTGAGTGGGAAAGATAAATAAGCAGAATTTACATGGCAAGATGAAAGGATGGAAGTGGGGGAGAACAATGGCATAAGAACAAAACACTATCGAATGAGCTTTGAACATATGACATTCTCCTTGGCTCTTTCCTGCCTCAGTCCTGACTCTGTGTTCCCTTCTGGTTTCTCTTTGCTTCTCTACTGCTGTTCTCTTTTCCCATGCCCTTTTAAACCGGTTTTGTTTGCTACTGCATTCTAATTCTATTCTGAATATTTTTGTTCTGTTTTTGAGGTGAAGGGAGGTGGCACAGGCTGACAGTTTTGATGTTCTGTCCCTCCCTCAGTCAATGTGTTCTGTGTCCTCATTCTCCTCCTTTCTCTCATGTTTTTTCTTCTGCAGGTAATGCAAATTCTGGTACTGTGATCGGGAACTGTTCTGCACCACCTGCTCAGCAAGCCAGAGTCTCCAGCTGTAGGAAACTGGGGAGACAAATCACATGGGCAAATGCTACACCACCTCCTGCAAGTGTGCAGAATCTTCATGTGAGTGGCAGTCCTACCAAAAAAAAGCCCAAACTTAACTCTTCATGGACCAAAATGATAGAGACACAAAATATCTTAATTTGCAACTTTGTAAAGATATTTAAATGAGAGGCAAGACACTGCTCTGTGGCTAAATGAACACATTTTTATCAGTTAAAATTACTTATGGCAAAGATACACACTGCAATTTTGTTGCTTGTGTGTAATGTTAGTCAAACAGTACCAGTAACCTAGTGTGATAAAACAACTGGGTTTCTATAGAGCATGTTCCCTTCACGGGAGAGCTGAAGACTCTGCTAACTGAGGAATTTCTTCTAGTAGGGGAAGCAACTGCACATAACTTGCCTCTAATAGGGGTAGGTTCGACCCTGAGTTCAGTTCTATGCATGAGGCAGACTGTTGAGAGGAAGACCATCTACAGTCATCACCAGGAAATGCCAAGGGCACAGTTGTGGCTTAAACCTTACATCTCCAGCATCTGTAACGCTGACCTGCTCCTGTGCAGGATTAGTTTGTTGTATCTTGCTCTACTGCCACTAGCTCATTCTTCATACACCCATTCTTAAGCCCTTCTCCCTCACATCATTCTCACCATCCTATTGATCTTACAAGATACTCTGTTTCACTTATTGTTTGTATAACATTCAAGATCTGTCCTACTCCTCAGCTGAAGCACAATCTGTGTTCCTTATTTGTATGTTAGAAAGCTCATTACAGGTTACTGACTATCTTGGCTTTTATTTCTTGCACAGAATCCAAGAAATACTCAGTTTCACAGCAAAGAGGTTCGTCCCCTTCTGAAGCCCAGTAAAAGGATGTTTCAAATTACTGCAAACGTGGGAGCTGCTGGTGATCCAAAAGCATCAATGGGCAGTTACTCCCAGGCCTATGGAATCATATGTAAGTCTGCTCTGCAGAGCCTTCCAATACCAAAGCCCTCCCAGCAACATGAGCAGTGACTATGGAAACATCCCAACCAGGTGAAACTCAGCTCATCAGTCCTCTAACTGAGCCACTAACAGCAAGTGAAAGCAAAACAGAACAGGCATTTGACAGTTACCCCAGCTGAAGGGAATACTTTAACCACTGCATGGAACAAACCAGCAGGAAACAGAATGTAATCCCTTTGCTTTCCAGTCTTACCAGACAAGGGCACAGCACTATTTGCTCCCATACTGAGCAAGGAATCATTCAGTTCACATTCCTCATTTGAATTATTGCAAAAAAATCACAGAAAATGGCAATACTTTGATATGGGAACGCAGGTATAGTTAGACTATTCAGTGCTCTTCTGCTGACTGCTTGCCCAGCTGAGAAGGACATTATCATCAACAGGCAAGCCAGCAGCCAAAGTCCTCCCTCTGCTCTTAAATCATACACCAACAATCCAACATGCCAGACCACTGGAGAGAGAAATAAGTCAATCCTTTCACTCACAGCACAGGACGTGCAGAAGGGAGCGAGCGGACTCCGGAACCATGCTGTGGGAGATGGAAGGACCCAGGTGATCAGTCCAGTCCCAGTCATGTAGTAACTGCCAAGAGAGGGACTTCTCATCTGGCCTCACCATCCTAGGAGCTCCACTTGCTATGAAGAGTCCAGGCACCCTTTCAATGGCCAGAACTTCACACAGCACATCTATTATATGGACAGACCACCAACTGCACTACAGGCAGAGTCAGCTCTGACAGAGGGGGCTTCTTGCCCCGCCTCCAAGTTAATGTGGAAGGTGGGGCAGCTGGTGGTGATCTCCTAATTGGTTTCCACCCAAGGGCTGGACAGACCCTGGGTGAAAACCAGTCAGGAGGGCCCTGATTGTGGACATCATCCATATGCCAACTCTCATTCAGGGCAGGGGGTTTAACCCCAGCACAAGAGCCCATGGGATCATCATGAGGTTCAACAAGGCCAAGTGCCAAGGTCCTACACCTGAGTTGGGGCGACTGCCAGTATCAACCCTGGGGCATGAAGGGCTGGAGAGCTGCCCTGCAGAGAAGGGCTTGGGGGTGAGGAGCTGGCCAGGAGCCTGCCCCGGGGCCCTCCCAGCCCAGAAGCCCCCAGCAGCCTGGGCTGCCCCCCCCAGCAGCGTGGGCAGCAGGGCAGGGAGGGGATCCTGCCCCTCTGCCAGCTCTGTGAGACCCCCCTGCAGTGCTGGGGCAGCTCTGGAGTCCTCAGCACAGCAGAGCCAGGGAGCTGCTGGAGCGGGGCCAGAGGAGCCCCAGCAATGCCCCGAGGGGGGAACCCCTCTGCTGGGAGCCCAGCAGGAGAGAGTTGGGCTGGGGCAGCCCGGAGGGGAGAGGGCTCCCGGGAGACCTTATTGCAGCCTTTCAGTACTTAAAGGGAGCTTTTAAAAAGGACAGAGAGACCACTTTTACCAAGGCATTGGAAATTGTCAAGGTCAGGCTGGATGGGGCTTTGAGCAATCTGCTCTAGTGGAAGATGACCCTGCCCATGGCAGCAGAGTTGGAACTAGATGATCTTTGAAGGTCCCTTCCAACCCGTTTTGAGATTCTTTAGCAGTTTCAGATGCCCTTCCTGAATGCAGATTTTTTTTGAGCACACCAGATAACTAACTGTTCTCTGAAGACAAAGAAGACTGAAGGCTTCACAGATAATCTTACAGCCCTTCACTTTGTTTTCACTAATTTCTATAACTTTTCTGGGGTAAATGAACATAATCAATGTTGCCTTATTTTCCTTAAAATCAAGTAGAAAACCATTTTAAACATAGGTGGGTTCTGCTACAATACTTAACTGCTTACCCACCATATCATATTGTAAATATTGTAATGAATAAATACGTCATATTGCACTACAGAAAATTTTTTGTTTTCAATCAGTGTCTGCTCTGTATGAAGGGTCTTCTCTTTCAGGGGTATCTTGTTCAATGAATATTCTCTTTTTTTTATTTTTTGCTTTCAGAAAGCAGTGTTCCAAGAGATACTACTGCTGAAACATCCTGTAGTTGTTATCAAGCAACAAGGGAACCATAGTAAATTTAAAACCAATATTCCTATTTTAATGATGATTTTTGGTGTATTCTCCTCATCAGCTTGAAGTTCTTATAAGAAGCCTCTGTCCTTGTTACTTCACCTATGATAAATGCTATTCTAGAACACTGGGACTACAGTTACAGAGGGAATTCAGGCACATAGTTCCAACCTGAGTACCACTGTCACTGACAAAACATCCATTTTATCTTTGGGTATCTAAACACCAAAGACGGTAAGTAAAATATTACACTTACCTCTGGTACCAGGTGTGGTCACTTAAGTCTGGCAATACTAGGGAGCTGGAAATACAGCTCACAGAAAAGTCCTGGTTTACTCTGGTCTATGTGTGAAATGGTAATTTCCCATCTCTCTCTGGGGAGGGCAGGTACAGGCAGTGGCAGTGACAGGGAGGACATGCTGTGTGGACAGTGCTCTCTGCAGCTTGTTGCCTTTTGTGAGTCTAAGATGCCAGTTCTCATGCCCAAAGATGGGAGCCTGCTGCTTAATCCAGGGCTGTGACTTCCCCTGACAGCCCAGCACCTAGAAATGTGACAACACGACATCCAAAATCCTCTGTGCACCTAGTCTCAGACTGAGAGGTCACAGACTATAACACTCACTTTCATTCTTAAAATAGCTTTTGTTATTACCAAGTGAATTAATTACTCCGCAATATTTAAATACACCTACAACATCTGGTAATCAACATATCACTGGAAGAGATGAATCATTCTATTTCAGCTCAGGAATATACTTTTACACTGAATGCACCATACTGAGCAAGATAAGATTCTAAAAATCTAAAAAATACAGAAAATTTCTAAAATGTTAAAGTAATCTGTCACTATAGGAATAATTAATTTTCCAACTTGTCTGTTACAGAATGATGCTGGAGCAGGTAGGTCTGGGAAAGGCTGAGGAGGTATGGAATGATGTAAGAATTACACAGAATAGGGCTAGTATATATATAATAGGGTATCTATCTACATGGCCTGTCTTCCCCTCTAGAGCAAAGTCATTTCTGGCAGAGAACAAATGCACTGATCACTACAGTTCATTTTTGGACCTTTCAGTAACTGGATCTGAGCCATTACTGAGAGCAGCCAACTTAGGTACACATACAGCATCCATATATGACTTTGTACATATGTAACAGATGATGGGTTGTATATGAAATGGTATCCATTTACATAATATGGAATAACCATAATAAAACCATTTCAGCTTTTTTTTCCAATTTTGGCCGTTTCTTCCCTCCTTCTCTTTTTCCTCTCTTAATTTTATTTCTAGGTTTACCTCCTCATGTTAAAATGATAATCACTCTTGAGTCTTGCAGATTTTTACGACCATCTGTATTAATATGGAAAGTAACTTCATTTTTTTTTCAGATCAATCTATACACACGTTCATTTCTCAAGGTTTTCAACAAACAGTAAAATAATCATTAATTGTTACAGATATGTAAGTTATATAAAGCCTACTAAATTACTTAATTACCATGGGAGCTGGCATCCTAAAAAAAAAGCTGAAGTTTTGACGACCCTACTAAAGTTACCTTCAGGAACTGATACAGCCTCTTGCCTCCATCTCTCAGCTACGTACCTGAACTGGTTTGCTGAGCTTGCAGCTCGTGTCACAAGTTGGTAACCATGAAACCCAGACGAATGGGAACTTCAGAAGCCTAGTTCCACACGAGAGCATCCTTCCCTGTCATCTCTTTAGACTACAGCACAAAGATCAGGGAAAAAAAAGAAAATCCCAACTTGGCACTAGAAAGTTACAGGATAAAACACTTGTGGGTTTGAAAATTCCAGCAGCCTTATTCCTTCCATTGCTTTGAGTCCCTTCTTTCCTTATCTTCACATGGAAAGAGGCGCTTAAGGGGTGAATGTCCCCTCCTCCCCACAGTCACCGAATGAATTGGTATTACAATGTCAAGGAAGTTACTACTTGGTGAGACAGCATTTTAGATGCTTAATCAAACTCCTGCCTCAGCCAGGAATCCTAAAGAGTCCTAAAACCAGGCCCTTCTCCATTAAATAGCATGTCAACTGCTTTTTTTATGGCCTTTCAGCTGCTTGTTTCAGCTCAATCGCTAAAGCAACACTTCCACTATAGATATGGAGACAAACTAAAAACAAAACAGAACCATTAGGCTTAGAAAATGGTAAATAGGAGAGCTGAATAAGTACTGCTAGACAAGACTATAACCACAGATAAGGGCAAAAAGCTGTTTACAGTATTTTTTTCTCCTCTTAAACCTTCATTAATGTCTCCTGTATTTGATCCGTTATTAGATACAAAAAAAAAGATAGCTGTACCTGAGTAAGAACTGGGTTTTAAACACGTTTTCCAGTTAATGCACATGTGTGCATTTTTCTTTCCTGGACTGGGCTCAAGTATTGAGTTTCCTATTTTTTATTCTTTCCTTCTGAAAGTGGAATTGTTTTGTCTGCTGAAAATATTCCCTGAGCATAACATAAAGAGACTCTTACTTTATGTCTTTGTTTTAAACATCTTGGCACTTTAATAATTTTATTTGAAACATACTGTGATAAGGTTGCCTGATACCAAATGACTTTATTGGGCAAATTGTGCCATAGGAGTCTAATGCTGACCCAATTTCTGCTCACTAACCACGCAGAATATTGCCTATGGTGCTTATAGCCATCAGAAAGAAGTTACTTCCTCATTCCCCTTTGACAGCCAATGATTATATGGAATTAAATAGTATTTCTATGATCATTTTTTGGTCTTGAAGGTCCCCAGGATTTTGGGCATGAATTTTCCCATCTTCTTGTCTTTGGCATCTGTGTCATATTCCTCTTCACTTTGACTTGTATGCTCATCCTTTTTGCAGAAGACCTCAAATCTACTGTAGACTCGCTTCTCCTTCCGCATATTCTCCATTTTTTTCAGAAGGGTATCTCTATCCTCTGATGGTTGCCGCTGAAGGTTCCGTTTCT